GGTACTTCAACCCCTCCGATACCAGCGTAAGTTTATACATCAAAAAAAAAAACGAAACGAAATCATACATCTAACGATTAATCTTCTTCGCACGGATTGATTTTTTTTACTAATTGCATGTTTTGATGATATTCTGCTTCTACTAACATAGCACTAGTATGCAAATGCTTTTCTTATTTTTGCAGATCAGCTATAAATCAACCAGGTAGGGCAAGCCCACAACCAGGGGGTTTGCCACCACCTATATCGCCGCTGTAAGTTATTATATAAGCTAATGAATGAATATTGTTATTATTATTATTGTTGTTTATATTAATTTATTATCTAATTTTAATGAAAATAAAAAAAAATACATGAATTCATTTTTATTCTTTTATAGACGGCCAACACCATCCATTCCACCACGACCATTTGAACGCCCACCAGTTCCACAACGAAATTAGATCTGGAACACAATACAAATCTGACATTAACCGCTTTTTCTTCTCAAATATAGCCAGCTGTTTTCTTTCTTTCTTTCTTATGTATAAAACGTCTTTTGTGTACTTGTTTAATCATCTAGATGCAATTATCTCATTATAGAACTCTCAATTATGATACACATATTTTTTATCATTGACCGTTGCACAGCTTACTATCATAATTTTCTTTTTCTTTTCTTTTTTCTTTTGGTCTTTTGACTGTAAATTTTGTGTTCCGGTTATCGAAACAAGAAAAACAAAATATCAAAAAAAAAGAAAATATATTCATTTAATAGTTTGTGCAAACAAAAATAAATGAGTAGAGTCTTTCTCCCCCCCGATGTTTCCTTGTTATTTAGACATTTACGTAATGGATGTTGTAGGTTTTGTGTATGTGTATAATTCATTGTATCTCGCGCTTCTCGAACAGTGTATCTATCACTTATATATGGATTCATTTTATTTATTTCATTTTTCCAACAATTATTATTATTTGTAGAAAATAATCAACATCTCTCTCTATTAACAATTCTCATTTCACCGTTATTGTTTGCGTACATTATTATTATTATTTTTTCCATTTCTAACACAGATATTATACACAACCCTTATTCACCATTCGTAATGTCATTGTATGTAGATCAATCTTATTTGCCTTCTTCTTGGCTGAATTCATTTGTAGCCCTTTTCTTTTCATACCTCTTTATGCTGCGTTACGCTCATTTTTCTCTTCAATAAAAAAACATTCGTGATCCTTTATCATGTCTTCTTCTTGTTTCTTTATATTGACTTCAAATAGAAAATTACTTGTAACTTGTATTTCAATGAGATAAAAGAAATTCTTCGAGCTATTCATAAATTATAGTAGAAGTTTGAAAATGAGTATATTGTTCTAATCTTACAGATAGCCATCTAACGAGAGAACCTCCTCAGATGATAAAGCCCTGTCTTTTGACAATAGATAGACCTCAAGAGGATTTGTGCCCTCGTGCCTTCTATTTAGAGTTATAGGCATATTACTGAAATCTTTACCTATAGTAAGGAATCTACTAACAAATCGAATGTCGATATTTCGAGCTAAGATTTCTCCCACAGACAGATCTATAGGTAAGTAGAATACCTTGAAAATTTCAGCTCAAAAAAATATTTTCTTCACGAGATATCAAAGTCTCAAAAAACGAAAAATTCCAGCATCTTTCGGAAGATAAGAATGGCCTTTGACATTTTGATATCTTGTAAAGGAAATATTTTATTAAGCTGAAATTTTCAGGGTATTCTACCTACCTATAGATCTGTCTGTGGGCGAAATCTTAGCTCGAAATATCAACATTCGATTTGTTAGTCGATTCCTTGCTATAGGTAAAAATTTCAGTAATATGCCTATAACTGTAAATAGAAGGCACGAGGGCACAAATCCTCCTGAGGTTTTTCATACCTCATTGAGGTCTATCTATTCACTATTAATTTATCTCTGCTTATTATATATGATAAAATACTGACTGAGGAACTCACAGAATGAATATATAACCCAATCAAATTACATTGATCATTCTATATGATATACTTTTTATCTATTCTGTATTATAATCCTCGCGAGTACAGAAATACATTGATATTATTATTCTTCAAGTAACACGTGTGTCACGTTGAAGTAAAATATGCTTCCCCATACATAAAATAGAAGGAAAAAAAATTCTTACGTCATGAAGCCCATTTCACAATACGATAGAAATATTTTTGAAAAGACTTTACACGACACACAGACTTTTTTTTTATTACTGTACGATTTTGTATTAAATATATCTTACAACTACAAATTTTTTTAAAATATAATAATTTTTCTCAATAAAAAAAAACAGTATATATATATTCATTTCATACTCTTGTAGATTTTTCTTATCGACGACTAATATGTGATTATTTTTATTCTTCTTATCATGTGGTAAGTAGCATACTTCGTCTGTTAATATATCTTTCTTTTTCATTATGAAATGAAAAACTTATTCAGAATTAATCTTATATTGATATGATCGGAACAAATCTCTTATTTTTTATATGTGCCATTACAAGAACATATTCACTAGTCATACATACATCTGTTTCTAAATAAGTTACAGCCGACAGATGACAATCTAATTTATCTTTCTTTGGTGATAAGTCTTAAGGATATATTGTATAAGAAAAATAAACTATAATCAAACCTATTGGGATTAGAATTGTCAACTAGTAAATGAATTACGATTATATTTTTAGGGCATCTCGTTATAAACAGTATTCGGTTGTTCAACAACAAGAAAATGGTCATCATGAAACCGATACTAATTTAGCGTTTACAATTCCTCGTGAATTTATTACTTCTCAAGATTTAACATCTGGTTCTTTATTTCATGGTAATACATTTTTTTAGTTCATAGAATGTATCTATTTCTATTAAATATTTTTTTGTTTAGGTGGTATTGATAGTCCATCAATAAATGCAATTGATCCATTATTAAAACAACCCGTACATATAACTAAATATCTTTGTTTAAAATCAAAAACAAGTACACAACAATATATAAATCATTTATATGAACGAATACTTTTAACAAGTCATTTATCACATCCAAATGTTCGTCGAATATTATCTTGGTATATTGCTGATGCTTGTCTTTATTCTATAACTGGTCTTATTCAAGGTACATTACGTCATGCAATTCAATCACAAACATTCTCTCTTGAACGTATATCTCGTTTATCATTACAAATAATTAATGGTACTATTTATTTACAATCAAAAGGTTTATGTCCATTAACACCTTGGTAACTATTATTTATATATTAATATAAAAGAAACTTGATTTTATTTTATATATAAAGGTATACAACAAATATTGAATTAACACATGATGATCGTATTCGATTATGTTCACCAACAATATCAACAACAAAATTAAATGGTGGAATTGTTCAACATCATCATTTATGGAGACATGCACCAGAAAGTTTAATTCGTATGATTATTGAAAATGAATCTCTTGTTAAGTATGTTGAAGAAAAATTCTTTTCATTTTTTTTCTATATTAGAATTTGATTGATTATATTTAATAAAGAGTAAGATTTAGAATTAACATTAGTATAATATTAATATCTATGATATTAAAGTAAAACCTCTTTTTTTTGTCCGCAAATATTTTTATTTCAATAATCGTAAACTTATTAATATTCTGAAAGCATAAATATTTCTTTTTGCAAATCGATTTATTAGTCTGTACTGGAAATATCTATGCTCTTTTGAATATTATTAAGTGTATAGTTATTTACATAAAAATTTTGTAACATAAACAATATATAATAGACAAAAAAAAAATATTTGTAGAATAGTCACTTGATTATCATAGATGTTCATATTATTCTAATGTAAATGTTTAAAATTAATATTAATATTGTTAGTATAAGAAAATTCGAGTACATCCATTAAAATCGGAAAAAAATTTTGCTTTCTCTAAATTCAAGGAGAAATCTATTCTTTATAAACAACAGACATTACTTTAGGCTTATAACAACAATGACAGAAATAAAATTTTTCACTTAAGAGAGATTGTTTTATTCATTACAATTTTTATCAATAAACGACAAAAATATTTTTAAAAAAATACGACTAGACAGTGCATCATAGATATATTTATAGATTCTTTCTTTTCGATAATACATCTTATACTGAGTTTACAATATGTACATTGTTCTATAATTACTGAAGAAAAATGTCATTATAACCTTGATTTTTATTCTATAAACATTGTACTTCAAACGCCTACTACTTGTTTCTAAACAATAGTACACATAATTAGCAACAAGTACTAACGCTCTATTCTAGTCGTTAATGATCAATGAAGGTGTCTCATATTATTTGTAATTTTGTTTTTCAGCAATGGATCATTTGATAATTCGAAAGAAGATGTTTGGTCTATTGGTTGTATTATAGTTGAAATGATGATTAATACAATATTATTTCGACCACAAAATGATGATCCATCATTACAATTACTTTGTATAGTGCAATTTGTTGGTGGTTTAACATTATCATTAATTGATCATTTTCCATCACATATAAAACAATTATTTTCAAATATAAAATGTGATAGTCATCAACAACGTTTAAATCGTTTATTAAAACAAATATTTAATCGATATGCAATACATTCAAATGAATATAATAAAAGAGATAATTTATATGATTTATTAAAACATATGTTTCAATTTCAACCAGATAAACGTATTGATCTTCAATCATTAATTGAACATTCATTTTTTTCAATGAATTCAAATAAATGTTGTTTAAATAAAACTCGATTAAATTTAATTAAAATCAAAACATCATCAATAAGAATTGATGATCTTATACATTTATGTACAAAACTTAATTTAGAACGATCAAGATGGATTTTAACACTTAAAGAACGTTGTTTATTAGAATTGATTCTACATATTGATAATTTTAGTCAATTAAATTTATATAAATACGGTTTAAATCAATCATTACAAAATGAACTTAGAAAACTTATTTATTTTTTAACGGGTAATCAATAAATCAATGTATAGTTTTATTCCTTTTCTTAAAATTTTTTCTCATTCCATCATACGGCATAACATGTAAATGTGTAATATTAAATTATATATACATAAAGCAACAAATCTAAGAGTTATTTTTTATTGTGAAGAGAACTTTTTTCGTTGTTCATTGAATGATAAAAAACAAAAGATAGTTTGGTGCTTTTTCTTCCTTGTTTGTTTTTTTTTATTATATAATATGTATGTTTATTTTATTTCTTATCTTAAAGTTTTTCTTTTTCGCGAAAAGAGTAGCAAAGGTCTACTTAAACAAAAAACAGATAACCATGATTTTATCCTATTGTTTTTAGATATGAAATAATTATTTAACTTAAAATTATTTTCATCGGTAACATGAAGCTCATGTTCTTTCCGGTGACAATGATTGAAGA